CAAGGGACCTCTCGGTGTCGACCAAGCTTAGAAGACTGGACATTGATTTTGGCTTGAAATAATGAACTGCGGTCAATCTCTGGCTAATCCAGCAGTTCATTTTAGCTAGGAAGTCCAGCGGTCACTACTCGCTCTACACTATGGGGTACAGACAACTAATAAGACAATCTCCATGGCTGATAAAGCTATGCGATATGTGATTTCTTTATTTATGGCGTCGAACTAATGACCCCGAGAAAGTTCGTTATTGATTGGGCGATGGACACTGGTCAGAGGGATGGCCTGAGTCCGACCACTTGACCGTATCTTCGTGTGCCATTCTAACACGTCTTTACTGGCCCTGAAGTGATCACTTTACCGTATCGTCTGGTGTGGGCAGTCAGGAAAACAGATGACAAATGTATTTTTTTATTTTCATTATTTTTTTGCAATGCACAGTGAGGCCGAGCCGAAAACAAGAAAAAACAACATTTGGTTTAAACACTTACTAACTTTTAAATGAAGAAAAAAATTGACATTAGATTATTTGTCAACTAATGTTAATATTTTTAAAGAGCAACTTAATCAAGCATAATGTTTAGACAATAATTGAAAATTTTGTGTATTAATCTGTTTTTATTAGAATGCTGTTATAAACACTTAATAGTTTAATATTTCTATTTGTATATTTTCTGTGTGTTACACATACGACTATATGTTTTCCCTATGTACAGACCGTTTAATGTGACCAGGAGCTCGGGGTATATATTTATATAGACATATTTATTACATTTAGTGTACATGAAGATGATTTCTACATTAAGTTAAGAATATTAATTGTATATAAACCAATAACTCTGTGTTGATTTCTATCACCAAGTTAGTTGGTATCATGATAGTAATGTAATTCATATCATAAATATACTATCACATATATATTCATGGTTTATGTCATCAAAGTACAATAAATCTGACTGTGCTAAGACTTTGTGTGGTCAGTAGTGTTTCTGGTATACGTTGTTTAACTGTAAGGTTGTTGTTATTGGACACCCATACTAATAAATATGATTTACAGGAAAACATCAGAATAAATCTCGATTGATGGACCGGTCAGTTTATCACGTTGAAAGTGTGAAACAAGGGTCAATAGGTAGTTGAATTAGATAAGACAGATCATCATTTCATGTAAAAAAAATTGTGTACATTTGTTTATAGATATTTACTAACGTATATAACTGAGATCTTGTGTCCATTTTCGACCTGTCATCAGTAGGTGTTGTCAATAAAGTAATTGATGACGTCGCAAGGGTGGGCGACCAACCGCCCTGAACAGGAAGATATCATTACACAGAGGAGAGAAAAAACAAGTGCTACTAATATTGTTTATTATGAAATCATTCGTGCAAGAAGTATTACTTACCAATAAGACCTACAACAAACAATACTATCTGTTATGGTGAATGCATATACATGATGGTAATGCTGATCTCACAGTCATGATTCACCAAGAATGAAAAAATTAAATATCGAAATGTTGTAATCTTCTTCATGCATATTGTATTGAATATTCATGAATGAGCAGTATTTTAATCATTAGCATAATGTAACATTTTTTCTCTTTATTTTGAACAGCAAGTGTATTTGAAGGTTTAGTAAAATTTGATATAAAATAACTATAACTAGTAGAAATACGGATTTTTTTTCTCATTTGATGTTATAAATATAGATTATATGTGTCTACTTGATAAAATTGTAAAGCTTGATGTATTTTTGTCTTGTTATTACTTACCTGATCTATACAACTGAAATAACATTCTCATTAGATGCAAGACAGGTCTTGCTATAATTATTTTTCTTACAGAAACCACACAATTTGTTCAGAGAATTACATACCTCGCTGACTAATCATTCTGACGAGGATGTTCCATTTCATAAGCACATAATCCATATCAATATTGATATTCATTGTAGGGAGAGTACATTATAGAGGAGTTAGAAAATAAAGTAACGAGTTTATCGGATATTTATATATATATATACATACATACGTAAAATAATAGTAATAAAATAGTTAATAAACTTAAAATAAAACTAACCAATTATGTTAATGAGGTCACGTGTGAAATTTTATTATGAAAATGAATCGCAGTTTGAATGTAAATATAATTTAATGAAATTTTAACAAACTGGTAATTTGTATACATACGATGAAAGATATGAAATAAAATACACGTTTACTTAAGAAAGATGTACCTATATGAAATTAATATATACTGCTCGTTTTACAACTACAGTTAAAACTACTACAAGGGTGTGGTTTGTGTACTGTTTCAAACCTCACGTTGAATTTTATGTTTCCCTGTACTCAAACAAGCAATAGGAACTGGTAAAACTGGAATGGTGACTTTGAACATTGGTTTTATTGCCTCGTGTAGCGCAAAGGTGTGTTATGCATGGTAAAATTTGATGATGAAAATAAAATAACATGCAACTGAGATAAAAAAGAATATATTGATTGAAAATGAAAATTCTAGATATTTCAAAAGTTTTGATAATTTATTGTGATACATTTTGTTTTTTTTAACGATAGCAGTGATAACTCGGGTTCTGTGTTTTCTTCAAGGTCTCTGTAAACTCTCGTTGAGATGGATTGCAAAGATAGGTTGTAACAGTATACGTCATCATATCTTGTACACTTGGGGAAAATGCTTCGTTAAAAATACTCCTTGGTTTGATTTTACGACTGTATTTTAATGAAATCAAACATATTCTCTAACGTCAATAACTGTAATAAAATTCAATGCATTTGTAAATATGTTGTATTATATGACTTGGAATTGTCAAATCAACTTAAATGTCCTACTTTATTCATTATTTATTCACATGCATTTTGTTAAAAAAAAAATGAAAAATTATTTTCATAATTTAATCCAATGTGAACTGTAATTTGGTGTCTCTTCATTTAATATATGCTAATAATTGAATACACATTTGGTTATATAAACATAGAATAGTTATATGATACATATTTTATAACATTGACTATAATTTGTTCTGCTTCCATAACATTTTAGAAAATGCATTTATCATATAGTTTTTTTTATTAATTTAGAGAAGAAGTGATTTATGCTAGAATGGTAATAGTTATTATTAGAGATAAGACGACAGTGAATTATTTCTCCTCAAAACAATACGTTATCAATGCCTTCAGACGAGAAGGCATATTGAGAACACCCGAGTCTCTTATTGTACTTCAAAGCCTTTCAATTACCTAACACATTAACGCCAAGCTTGGAAACTGTAACCATGGTAACATTCTTGCAGGTGCCAAAACAGAACAAATATCGTCAATATTTTTATTTCGGTTCATTGGTTTTTACCGAACTAGATTAGGCTTATGATTTATGAAATAGCCCCCCCGGCTTGACCTTATACGAGTGATATCGTCGCTTGATTTCACGTGGAATCTTCCCTTCACCCTAGGCTGTGAAAAAAGACATCAACGTCCTTTCTATCAGAGGGTTCACCATAAACTAGCCAAAGTCATAAAGATGACACATATTCTGACATATCGATTGGCTGTCTAAAACTTTAGCAATAAGACAAAATATAACACATGACAGTCAAGTAATCATAGATACACGTGCAAAAAATAAATTCCAAAATGGTTTTTCAATCTTTGTCATTTTTCATTTCTTCTATTATTGAACACTGACTATGATTTATATATTGAGAAATAATACGAAGATTCAGAAAAAAATCTCTAATATTTTCGAATATCCACATCTTTCATTTTGCTAATATTCAGCGTGAACTATGATTTATCTGTCCTCCCTTTAATTATTTTCGAAATAGCAATCTATCACTTCCCGTGCATCATGCTTCTATTACAAATGACTATATAATTTCATACATATTTCATCAAATGTTTTATCTTTCTACGTGGATTTCATATTTTGCAAAATTTTCTTATAAATTAAAAACACGGATAAACAAATTAGTATCGTATATCAACAAACCAATTAATTGTAACATGATAGTAAGTCCAATGTTTAAAAACACAAAATTTTCTGTTTACCCCGAACTCATGATATCTTTATAATTCTCATAGTTATAATTGTGATATATTTATCGTATCATAAATCATTTGATTAATATTTGAATATCATAGCTATGTATATATCTATACAAATGTATGTATATGTATATATATATATATACCATAATAACGGCATTTATTATGGTTTGGCAAGTAAAAAGGGAAAACATTTTTTTTTTAAAAAAAAAGACAGAAACAAAGAAAGAGAGAGAAAAAAACCAGTTATGAGTACTGGCGTTAGAAGAAACCCAGACAAACATTTGAAAGTAGATAAACAAAAGAAAAAAACGTAACAAATAATCCTGAATTGTTCGATGAATAAGTCATAACTGTATATACACTTTGCCAACGGACGGTGTCGTATTTCCCACCACGGATTTACTCATCCCCTGAATAGTCCTTTAAAAAGCACTAGTTTGCATTTATCTTTAGCTATTATTTTGGCTGATAGTTTAAGATTCTGTATGACTCTCCCGAGGAAAATTTTGCCCGTAATGCCAGCCTGTTTACACCACGACAGCCATTTTGTCAAGCGATTAAGACTGAAGCTGAAGAAAAAGTGAACAGTTAATTCTATTAATTATGCTATAAAACTGATAGTTTCCACAAATCTAGATACCTTTTGCAAGATAATGGAATTAAACGCCATCACGGGATTGAGAAAATAACTGTTGAGAACAGTCGTAGCTACCTCGCTAGTAAGCCACTATCTATGTAAAGGTGTGATTCGGTCAGCGCAGTCACTAGTCGAGCCCATTTTCTAACGGCGCTGCTGATTGGTTGGAATATGTTCGCTCTGATTTCCATGCAAATGATTTATTTGGGCCGACGTAAGCGATGGATGTCCACAAATCACTAGGTACGGTACAGTGTATAGGTCATGTTGTGAGAAAATAGCAAAAACGGCAATATATTCTCAAAAATGAATTCGTACTATCCAGCATCGTTTTTTGCACAGTACTCTTCGGAAAATTCACATATTCCTCACAATGTTGGTTACTCGTCAAACAATTTTGGATTACTAGCATCACGTTTTGCCGATCAAATTTCGGCATATCACAATAGCAGTTTTGATCCCCATCGTGCCACTCTACCAAATGGATACTCACCTCACCACCAATCCGCGGACGGTTCCCATTACCCCTCCCGGGACGGATCGGGCGGGGGAACAGGGTCAGGTGGAGGAGGAGGGGGAGCGTCGGAACAGCCCGGGCATGGGGTAGGACACGGACACGGAACAACACCCCCGGGCGGGGGTCGGATACCGCCTTACCCTCAACCAGCCCCAGCACACCAGGGCTCGGAGGACTCAAGTTTGCATAGGTCGTACAGTTCGTGTAGTACAGACAATTGGAGTCCCCCTCCGCACGGGGGGATACAGAGCAGCTCTCCGGACTCCGTACATAATAGTCAGACACATAGTCCCTACTCTGGCCTGGACGCTTCAGCAAACTGTCAGTCTATGTTGCTACAAAAACACATGAAGTCGGACCAAGGCCTAAATTCGGGATCTGAAGCAAGCCCCTCAACGCCTTTTTATCCCTGGATGGGGATTGTTGGTAAGTCAGAATGATTGTCACTTTAGTGTTTAATAATCCTCGGAATAATTATAACATCAAAACATATACCAGCGATAATACATATTAAAAATATTCTGATTAAGGAGATACATATACTAGTATTAGATTGCCATAATAACTAATTGAATAGATATATATTTCACTAAAATGTATACACTAAACTCGTGCCAGGCCGTTTGAATAAATACATAAATAGGTACTAGAAAGACTATTACACACGTGTGTGTAAAACCACCATAAAACACTTTAATAGAAAGTCAGTATAACCTAACGCACTCAAACACTCGCGGTCCACGGGAACGTCAGTATAATTGGCGAATTATAGGCGTATATAAACAGCTACTGGTGTAAACCCAACAACGTCTTCTTTGCATTTTACGCTGTTAGTAAATCGCTGTTCTATGATGCACCAAACCCTATGATAGATTTATGTTTCCATCGTCGACCTCCCTTCTAAAGTTGCCAGGGGAAAGTAGTAAAAATGCTTTATGAGGATATAACATATCACAAATGGGGCTAAAGAACTTCGGAAGACTTGAGGATTAAAACCAAAGTAATAATTATGCACGTAGAAAACAAGTAATAAATATTTACAAAAAATATAATAAAAAAATTAAATACATGTTTAGATTACAATAACAGTGTTGATGTTAATTTCAACATACACCAGGTAAGATTTAAATAAGCATTTTAAACAAAAAGAAAAAAAATATTGATAATCTCATCTTAATAGTGAAAATGAAAAATAACATGTTTGTATATTTGAACTGCCAACGTCATTTCCCCTGTTTACAGATGTGCCGAACACGGAGAATATGTGTACATACATCTAAGAGCTGTATTATGTATCAGGGAAACTAGACGCTGTGATAACAATAGTAAAAGATATCAGAACATTAATAAGATGTAGAAGGATACAGTTTAAAGTGAGTTAAAGAAAGGGCTTAAAGCAATTTTCTGCAACAATAATAGTAACAGGTCATGTATAACGTCAAAATGTACTATGCATTATTGCACAAAGAGAAAGGAATTTTAATGCATAACCTAGAGAAAACCATTGCGAGGGCCAGGGATCTCGATAAAAATATACATTATGTATTATTCAGTATGGCTTGTTGGCTTTCCTTAACATATTTTCCCAAGGCAGTTGTAGAAAGGATACATTCAAGCTTGAGTGTTATTGCCAACTTGAGCTTAGAATACTACATAAGACATGTCTGCACCATATGTAGAACTGTGATCGAGTGGTTCTGTCGAATAGTTCGTATGCAGGGCACGGTCAAACGTAAAGTCGTAAAATTAAACACAGCTACGTAACATATCCCAGGAAAAATTAAAACCTACTCCACTTACACATACACTACCAAGTGAGGCATAACGTTGATGTATAATGTATTTGTCACGGCCAATATCAGTCTAAGTATAGTATGTACGTTTGGAAATGTACACACAAACATGTGTAAAGTAGAATTTTATACCTCGTTTATACTTTGTACATATAAAATGAACATCTCTTTAGGAGTTGCAATTTAAATTATATATCGGTAGATCTACTTGAAAGTAATATTCCACTTGTAAGGGTACACCGTGTCATTTTCTATAATTAGTCGATACACATGGCAATTATTACTATTTGCGCATTGATGAGTATGTATGTTAGTACGATGGAAATTTGCCAGATCGGTTTGTGATGGAACTGCGTTCAAAAAAATGTTGATGAATCATTTTATCGAATTTGAACATTTTAAAAATAATGTATCTTAATGTAGAATACGCAGTAAGTTTTATCAATAAAAAATTATATAAGGTTGAAATATGGTAAATGTATTAAGTTTCTATTAAGTTTCAAATAATATCTGATACCTACTCCATATCAACTTAGCACATTAACTATTCAAAAAATTAAGCTATACTTTATCAACTATCCAAATTCATGTCTATGAAATGTGTCAGACAGCTTAACAATGAAGATATATACTTCCTTATTAAAACACGCCGATTAATCAGCTCCCAAACAGGATCACAATGTCACTCACTCATGATAATACCTTTCAATCACTTACATATATATTTTCATTTTGTTTGAAATCTAAATATTTGATACATCTCAACACACGTTTAATCATAATTATTCGTAAAATTAATCACGCAAAATCTGTATACATTAATTTATGTATTTCTAAAATTTTTACTACAATATCTACTATATTTAAAAGTACTTTTTACAGTAACACTGCTTTCAGTTGAAATGCATCGTCATTGCATATTTTCATACCAAACATATGTTTTGGTGTGGAAAGATATACTGTTGAAGCAATTCAAGTTTTTTTTCCATTTCAAAATCAGTCTATGATACTGCTTAGAAGATTAAAATTTCGTCTACACACTCGATTTATTATATGTTACGAAAATACAAAAAGTTGTTCAATTGTTTACTTCCACCAATGGATTTTCTGAAGAAATATTTCATTTGTAGTATGTGTAGACGTGTTATATAGAAAACTAAAACATTTATCACACTGAAAAGTGTAGGAATATAAATAAATACACATAAACATGAACATTGAATTAATGATTCATTCAAAGAGTCAGAATTTTTTTTTATTTTGGTATAAAACTAAATGAAATATAATTGGAAATAAACATATAGTTTCTTAACAGGTCACGTGATATATATAGTAATATGCATTGCATTACAAGTTACGTCGAGATGTCTATGTATCATCGATTTAAAAAAAAAACATATTATCTTATTTGAGAAAAACGGAAAGTAAATGCTCTATGTCTGGGTGTAATATGTTCAAAATACGGGATTGAACTCTTAGCTCTAAAATTACTGTTATAACTATCGCATTTATGTATTTGTTAAGCCGATTCTGTCCTGGCCATGATACACGCGGCAGTAGTGAAGGACACTATGTTACCCCTTGTAACTACTCAATGCTGTCGATGTAGTAATAAACACACAGTATTATCGGCTATAGCCCTGTCTGACATTTATATGGGGGTCTTATCAGGCAAACCTCTACAAATCTTTTATATTTTTGTTTACCGAATCCTACATAGCTTCCTTTGAACGTATAGTTTAAAATTAATCGAAAAGATTTCTTTTTCGTATATTTCATTCTCATATCAAAATGTAAATTTACATCAAAGAAATGTACATCTAACAACTGGGAGTTAATATGTTTCCCTGATTAATGGCTAATCCTGATGTGATCGATAAACATATTCGTGAATTTCACCCACGATCATTAATCTCACAATACTTAATAGTCAATTCATTTCGTGTTGAAATACACATAGACAATTATGTCAGTGTTGTTTCAATAACATGTAAATAATGCATCCTGTTTGTTTTAAAACAAAACAAAAATTGAATTTTATGTAACTTTGTTTATTTCGACTCCCAACATAACCGAAATCGATCGACATGAAGCTTCAACATACTGTGCTCCTTTGTTATTCTGCTGAATTTGTCACACATATAAATGAATCCGATATCATGTTAACCGCTGCAGGACATTATGAATACTATTCTCTTTAATGGAATAAATTGAATATATATGTATATACTAAAACTTTTGCCGCAGAAAATTGACAATGGTATAATATATCTACTCAGACATGAAACAATATTATTATATTAGCAAAATATCGATTGTCGTCCAGTTTTGCCATGTGCCTGATTTTCTTTGTTCTGTAGTGTGTAGTAATACTGCTTTAAATAAACCTAATCTAGCTTATCTAGCGTACAACAAACTTGTTTAATCACATTGGCGATTAGAGTTTTGTATCTCAAAACAATTTATAGATACAAAAATCTATCTACAAGTGACACCAAATACAAATGTTTTAAGATACTCTATTACATTTGCCTGAAATCAAATATAGCAAATCTATATTTGATATAGAAATAGGGTTCAATCTAATCGTCGTTTGAACACAATTCATGTAGAGTATTTCTGGTGTGTGGTCAATTATGATGATTCCTTTTAGTGAACCACCTTGGACATGTAAAAGACAATTTTCTAAACGGCGGTGACGTAATGCTTTTTTAACCAGCTTCTACATTGAGTTACCCAGATAATGTTTGAATGGTAAAGTGATGGTTGTCCATATTATCGATAAACTCAGGAAATGATAAATGTTCTTTGGAAAGAAATTGACATTTTAATTATGTACACTTTAAGTAAATCAATAAAGTGGTGTTGGTTACAGAGAGCTTGAAACATTGACTGAGATGTTGGAGGGTTAAATCACTGCCTTCTGCATCAGGTATAATCACATAGAGTTTTGCAGAGTAATATGCAGGCTTTCCTCCATTATCAGTACCATATACCACACAAAGCACATGGATGGATTCCCAAATGATCAGCTCAGGGCAATTGTAAAATATCAATGCTTCCTTGATAACGTTTGTACGTATGCTGTTCCTCTACAATGGATATCTACTGTAAAATGATATATGATTTCATGTAAAAAAATCGGTACCTAAAAAGTAGGCTCAAAATTATCAAACAAATACAAAATTATTAAAATGGAATGTGAAATAAATAAACTAGAACTTCCCATATCGGTTATTCAGTAGATCCCTCCGCAAAATTGATGGGTCGGCTCAAATACGCCCGCTTCTTGTGTACACATTGAAGAGTCTTTAGCCAGACAAGAGAGTTTCTCTCCTACAAGTAATCAATAATATTTTATGGGCGGTTTTATTTCGGTTTTAGAACCCTTACAACCAAAGAAGATGGGATTTGTAGTGATAATTCCTGTCTTTTATAATACTTTTTCAAATACTAAACCATGATTTATTTATTTTGTTTTGAATTATTTTTACGACAATACTGACAAATTATTCTCAGGTTTGAGTTAGCGATAAATACATATGATAACCAATAGTGAAAGACCCTTTGCACGTGAAAATGTCCTTTTCATATAGCAGCTAAGAATAAGGAAACCGCAGTCAGTGTTGTGTT